AGCAAGAGCCTAACTTGTCTAAAAAATTTTGTTTGAGGGTATTATTGATAGATTTGAACAGTTACCCTTAGAGCTCTTTTCTTCAGCTTGTTCATTACAGAAAATTGTTTCAGCCTTGCTTTCACAGTTTCACCCAGAGGGACATTTGGAGCTTTCTTGGCATTCTGTAACCATGGATGCTCTGCACATTAGAGTTTCGAATGATTTCCAATTTGGCAAAAAATATCACCATAAATAAAGCATATCCTTTAGTGTAACAGAATATTACCGAGAACTCCTTGAGCAGTAAGACGCTGCCTTGGATCGGGATCAAGCATTTTCTTCACGAGGTCCTTAGCATTTTCAGAAACCTTGGGCCAGGGATCCCTCTTAAAGTCAATGACAGAGCGAATAATTGCCTGTGCCACGCCCTGCTCAGTTTCTGCATGAAAGCACAAATGAATGTTATAAGAAGAAAATTAAGAGGAATTAGACATAAGCATGGAAAAAAGTCTCAACTATATGAGATTAATGACTTTTAAATAAATATTAAACATGACTTTTCTTGGAAATCTCCATTTCCTTGCCTATGAGTGTAGAAAGCAAACACTGCATCTGCAATCCTTTTCTGTTGTACAATTAAGTTAAATTACCTAAGAGAGATATTCAATCCTCTCAATTACAAGGACTGACCTGCCCAGAAAGGCGGCACACCACAGAGTAAAATATACAGGATAACTCCAGCGCTCCAATTGAGCCTAAAACTAGAACCGGTTACGACTGGTGTTCTTGACTTATTTTAAGAAAGTTGATATTTTTAAGCTAAAAAAAAAGTTACCCATTTCTTTTCCTTTCAACTCAATCCTAGAGAATCAATATGCTCAATTGTTAGGAAACGAAAAATACCAAAAAGAATTATGTATTTCCTTCCTACAAAATTGAACTAAAAACATTAAAATGAAATCAATGCTCTAATCTGACTACAGCCAAAAAAAGAGGAACTCAACCTTGAAACAGCTCTGATAACAGATGGAGTCGATTTCGGAACCAGAAAAACGTGAGGATTCTGGTTGAAAGCGAGAGAATGCGAAGGTTTGAAGCCGATGAAGCTGTGCACTCGAATCTTTGGATCATTTGGTACCACAGTGGTAGTTGCAGCTCCATAAGCCGTCGCCATGGATCCGAAATCGAATGCAAAACCAAGATTCTCAGCTAGGGTTTAAGGATTCTGCTTTTGGGAAATGAAGAAGAAGAAGAAGAAGAAGAAGAAGAAGAAGAATTCGCTGGAGAAACGGATTTTAGTCGTGTGATACTGTGATGAAGAGGAATAAAAGCGAGAGACTGTGCTGTGCTAATATAAGCTGTTTTCATCGATGTAATATTGTTCCCGGTGGTAGGTGTTTGGTTTTTATTGGGTAATGTTTTGAGTTTGAATATGAAACAAATACTGAAGAGATAATGCAATTTGATTTTAATGTCACTTCCGAACATCAGCAGATCAATAAAAAATAAATGATAATTGTTTCGTTTTTCCCTGTTCTTGCTGACGTGCCCGCCTGGCACTTTTGCGTTTTCTCACGTTTTGTTTATCTTGCTAACGTGCGCTCAGACACTGTAGCCCTCTCATGACCTTGCTAACGTGCGCCGGACACTGTTTAGCTTTCGATTTCCCAACGTGGGCCCGACAGCGCTACCTTTTATTTTTTAATTATGGAAATTTGGGATGATAGGTCCATGTGCATTCTTCTACGCGCTGACTCTGGATTCCGATGCGCGACGCTGGAGAAACAAAACGACAGCGCTTGTTGAAGAATATGCTT